CCAAGATTTTCGAGTTGTCGAATAAATTTTGGAAATTGATATGGAAAGAATGAGCGAGTCGGTGCGATTCGTTTTTTGTAGAAGCTTATATCGTTGATCGAAAACCTATCAGTACTTGAATTTATTGTCTTCTTGGATAAATTTAAACTTCTGAATTCTGAAGCGGATGCAAAAACAATTATCAAAAATTATAGCCAATGTGGGTATACGATACGGAAACTGATCGAATAGTTCAACGTGAAATCTCTTATGTGCCGGGTTTGTACAAAATATTCGATGAAATATTGGTGAATGCTGCTGATAACAAGCAACGCGATCCAAAAATGAATCTTATTAAAGTTAATATTAACAAGTAAGTGGATTCAAATTTTCATCAATTCCATACTGACTGACAAAACGATTAGGATTACAAATATCTCTGAGGAAGTTATCACCACTTACTAAGGTCCACAGTAAGAAACAAACGGTAATAAACAATGTGTTTTGATAATAACTACGATTCGGGAGTTTTGATAATAACTATTGATAATTCTTACGGTAAAAATTGTTATTGTAGTGTTATACCGATCTTTTATTGTAAGATCAATGAGAAATAAATCCCAGTACGGCGGCTAATGCATTTCTCAGTGCTTTGAAAGAGGGCTTAGAGTATCACTTTCTGAATCCTAATCTTTAGATTGAGCTAAAAATTCAACAAGATAATTTGCTTAATTTATCCTCCCAAAGAGGTTAGTAATTGATGAAACAATGATTATTCCGGGAATTTCCAGAGAGGAAAACGAAATTAGCATATACAACAATGGCCGAGGTATTCCAGTTGTACTGCATAAAATCGAAAAATTGTACGTCCCCGAACTTATATTTGGTACCTTACTTACGTCATCAAATTATGATGACAGTGAACGAAAGGTGACAGGTACTTTTTTAATTTTTTTTCCCGATAACTGTAGTATTCATTTCGAAATGAAATACGTTAGGGTAATAAAATAGATCGGATTGCTAAACCAATCCATTTCACGTTTCAAGTTTTCATTTCAGAGAATGAAAACTTCTGTGATATTGGGTGGGGACATAAGAGAAAATTTTCTGCTTTCAGAAGCTTCTAGCAGTAAGTTTAGTGAAAAATCCAGTGTACAAAGAGTTAGATGCACATTATTGTCCATAATTAAAGACAACAGAGTAAAATTATGTTGTAGGTGGCCGAAATGGTTATGGCGCAAAACTTTGTAATATATTTAGCAAAGAATTCACATTAGAAACTTCTACCAATGAATACGAAAAAGCTTTCAAACAGGTCTTCATATTTTTTTGTTTAAAATTTTCATCATCTTTCAATTGACATTCTATATTTCAAATTGAATTCTGGGCCTTAATTTATGTTTCAAATTGAATTCTGTATGCTGAACTCCTGTTAGTTTTAGCGACCATATTTTACTTAAATTTTAGACATGGGTCAATAATATGTCAAAAGGTGAAGAACCAAAGATAACGACCAGCAAGAGAGAAGACTTTACACGTGTAACGTTCAAACCAGATTTGGCGAAATTTAAAATGACCAAATTGGATGATGATATTGTAGCACTAATGTGCCGCAGGGCTTATGATATTGCCGGTTCAACGCGTGGTGTAAAAGTCTTTCTTAACAACAAACAGATTCCTGTATGTTTCTGAAAATATTATATTTTCAGAAATATTATATTTTAATATTATATTTTTCCAGAAATACTACACATTATGTTCTTCGATTTATTTAGTGTTTATCCGATTGCTTTCACTAAATGAATAATTTGCCATACTCTCGTAAGTGATACTAATACAATGGCGCAGCTTAGCTACTTCGAAACCCTACTTTTTTCTGATTCATAGACGACCCATTAGTGTTATCGGTGGTATTTCAGAATTTCTTATGGTTTAAAAACACATTTTGTTTAAAAGACATTTTTTATTAAAATCTAGGTGCAAGGCTTCAAGCAATATGTAGAGCAATATGTAAAACACAATGTTGACAATAATGGTGAAGCGTATAAAGTGGTTTATGAATCAGTTAGCCCACGCTGGGAAGTGGCACTTACAATTTCGGATAAAGGCTTTCAGCAAGTGTCATTTGCCAACAGTATCGCCACCACAAAGGTTTTTCTTTTTTCTCCTAATATAGGTAGTGAGTTTCTCGAATTTTAAATTGACATATTTGGTAAAGGAGTTGATGTTTTCGTACGCAAAATGCTTGATAACATGATCTTACTTAAAAAAAAAAAAAAAAAGCGAGTAGCTGATCACTATTTGCATATTTGATCTATTTTAATCTATTTTAACCCATCTCTCACCCATGCATTCGATTTTTAACTTCTAAAAGTATTAAGTAGGTATTTTGGTAGAAGATAGAAAAAAGATAGACTGTTAAATTTTTTATTTCTAGGGAGGTCGACATGTTGATTATGTTGTGGATCAGATTGCGAGCAAATTAATTGATGTGATCAAAAAGAAAATTGGCAAAAGCGGCGGCATTAATGTAAAACCATTTCAGGTAATTTTAGTTTCCAGTGACTTTCACCACTAACTTTCATTTACCTAAGCAAATGAAAAAAAATCGTTTCTGTGCGAAAACCGGGAGTTAATGAATTATCTGGAAAAAATGAGTTTGTGACGATTAATTTTGATAGTTCCTTTCGGTAACTCCCTGTGCTATACGCAACCTCTATACTCAATACCGCTACACTCAGTGATCAGAGTGTTTTGGAATCGTATCGCTTAGTTTGTATTTCAGATCAAGAATCATATGTGGATATTTGTTAATGCACTTATCGAAAATCCAACATTTGATTCTCAAACAAAGGAAACAATGACGTTGCAGTCAAAAAGTTTTGGTTCAACATGTGAGCTTTCGGAAAAATTTATTCAAGCAGCATTAAAATGCGGGATTGTGGAAGCAATTATGGCATGGGTACGATTCAAACAGCAGGAAACATTAGATAAAAAGTGTTCGTCTAAAAAGACCAGCAAGTTAAAGGTATATTATTTCAAATGCAAGGGTAAAAGAGGTGTATTTAATTACTTAAGCATATTGCTGTGAAATTATGATTTAGTCCCTTTATACGATATCTTTCAACATTCAGTTCTATTTGCAATTTAAACTATCAAAACAAAATTAAATTAACTCATTTAGGGTGTACCAAAACTGGAAGATGCTAATGATGCTGGTACGAAGAATTCAGCACAATGTACGCTTATTCTTACAGAGGGTGATTCAGCCAAATCGTTGGCTGTTTCTGGTCTTGGAGTTGTTGGACGTGATAAGTACGGTGTGTTTCCTCTTCGTGGTAAAATGCTTAACGTTCGAGAAGGCAATCATAAACAGGTAATAGATTAAATTAGAGACAAATACATTACCAGAATTGCATGGGAGATGCATTGAAGTTTTATTTCTCAGTATGTAAGTTGTATGAGTAAATTGTGAGAGAATTTTATTTCTCAGTATGTGAGTTATGTGAGAAATAAAACTGAGATAAAGTATGTGAGTAAATTTCGAAAACACGTTTTTTCCTGATAATGGAAAATGCCGAAGTGAACGCCCTGCTGAAAATTATTGGTTTGCAATATCGTCTAAAATACGACAAGGATGAGGACATGAAAACTTTACGATATGGCAAAATTATGGTTATGGCGGACCAGGTTTGTTCTATGAAATTGTTGGATTTTCAAGAAAAGGAGTTTCATTGTCGAGAAAAATATTTTATTCAGATGAAATTTCATTTGCTATCAGATTCTTTGCTAAACCATGTACTAAGCCAATACAGATTTTGGAATATCGCTTCTAAAAAATAAATTAAAATCCTGCCAGACGGAAATCAGTTCGTACTTGTCCATATCGGTATACCAGGATACCACCATATAATGCACCATTCATATATTTTTGATTCATTATTAATAGATGATAGCGTAGTTTTATTGTTACGAAGTTTTTGTTAAAAAGCTAGGAAGTTAATAGTGCGTTTTATTGTGGTATCCTGAAATATCGATATGGACAAGTTATGCTAATTTAAGAATGTCCTTCGGGCCAAGGATTTTTTAGGAAGATTTGATGAACCGGATTACTAGTTTTTCCTTATCACTTTTGTCATTTTGACATCAACGTCCTTGTCATTTTTATCATTTTTATCATTTTGGCATCATCTTTATCATTTTTATCATTCTGACATCAACGTGCACTTATCAGCAAGCAGCTTGGTATTTAAATTGGTGTATTATTTCAGGATCAAGATGGATCGCATATCAAAGGACTGGTCATCAATTTCATACACTATAATTGGCCAGCATTGGTTAGACGGAATTTCGTTGAGGAATTCATTACTCCAATTGTCAAGGTCTTAGATTTTAGCTGTCACATTGATAGATGATGATATAAAATCTCACTGATTTATTGGAATTATTGATTACAGGCAACAAAAGGCAAGGAAGAAATTTCGTTTTTTTCGTTACCAGAATACAAAGAATGGCTTAACAATACAGAGAATTGGAAAACATATCGCATTAAATACTACAAAGGTACGTTAAGTACTAAAACAGAAAGATATTCAGATTTCGAAATTTTTGTGGGCCAACGCATATCCAGTACCACGAGCGGTACGACTTTCATTCTCTTATGGAACAAGCCTTTTACAGGTTTGGGCACTTCTACATCGAAGGAAGCGAAGGAATATTTTATGGATATGCGAAGGCATAGAATACAATTCAGATATAGTGGTGAAGAAGATGATCAGGCACTGGATATGGCTTTTAGCAAGAAAAAGATTGAGGAACGGAAAATATGGCTTACGAATTGGATGGCTGTATGTTGTATTTATTGCTTTTATTTAAAGGATGTTTGGAATGATAACTTATCTCACTATATCAATTGCCGCCAAATGAAAAACAGTTTGTGGAGCACCACTTACAGCATGCAGTTACTTTGCCGAGGCAATGAGAAACTGAGGTTCACAACAGCAGAAAGAGAATTTAGCAAAGAAACAGCAGTAATCCTCAAAATATAGTGACTCAACGTTTTAATGTTCAGGAACGAAGAAGTCGGCGAGAGGATGGTTTGACGGAAGAATATTTGTATGATAAGGACACTCATGTTGTTTCGTTCAAAGATTTCGTCAATAAGGAACTTGTTCTTTTTTCGAATTGCGACAATGAGAGGTCGATTCCAAGTTTGGTAGATGGTTTGAAGCCTGGACAGCGAAAGGTAATCAGCGGAATTAAATGATATGTTCACATTAAAGTAGTAATTCTTTAAATAGATCCCAGTTGGCTAATAGCTTAATACGAACATCAATTTATTTGGTTAACTGATTACTTATAGTTTTATTACATAGTTTCCACTAATCGAAATACTTATTTTTTAAAGGTTTTGTTTACATGCTTCAAAAGAGCTGATAAAAAAGAAGTGAAAGTAGCTCAGTTAGCTGGTGCTGTGGGTGAAATGTCTGCTTATCATCACGGCGAGGTTAGTTTTTTATGCCGAGTTTTGTGAAACTGGTAAACATTTTTTGGCTGAAATTAGGGTTCGAGGTTCGTGATCTTGGGTTGATGTACCTCATTTATTTTAAGATTTCAAAGAATTTTAAAATTGTATTAAAAATTTTCTGCAACACGGCATCGTATAATGGATATCCATCTCATTCGGGTGTGAAGGAAGCTATTATTATGATTCCGGGAGAAGGGGAAAACAATAGAAAAGTAAAGGAGGAAATAGCGCGATATAGTTTAAGTTATGCATTCTTTTCTGAGCAGTGCTTACCCTATTTGAACTTTTTGGTAATGCACTAAAATAAAACTGTCACAGATCTTATGCATTATATTTTAAGACTTTTGATAATTTTGCATTCCAAAATGTGGAATTTCATGGCTCTTGAAACGTCGAATTTAAACTGTTATAGTCGGAAGGAGAGATTCAATGTGTAGAGGTCACAACGTTGCTTCTTACAGATAGTATACTTAAATGACCAATTAGACCTTATGTGTAAAAGTTTTTTCTTCTCATTAAATGGAAGTTTTGTAGCGGAATCGTATACCTTATCAAAACATAGCATACCATAACAATTGGGGATATTGCAGGCATCGCTGATGTCAACAATTGTGAATTTAGCTCAAGATTTTGTGGGCTCAAACAATATCAACCTTTTGTTGCCAATCGGGCAGTTTGGTACGCGTTTGCAGGGTGGCAAAGATAGCGCCAGCCCACGTTATATTTTCACTCAACTCAAGTAAGCGAGCTATCAATTACTAACGTAAGAATCTCGTGAACATGTTTGGTTTTCATCTTTTTTAGTTCGACTTTTCTAATCAAAAAAAAAATAATTACCGTATGCTGCTTTATACCATGTGCTGCTTTTGCCGTATACTGTTTTATATTTCAATGATAAAAAAATAAAAATGAAAATTGTGCAAGTATTCGTACACGCATATAAGAATCATAAACATATAAGTACACATAACTTATAACTGTTCGAAATAATTCCAGTCCCGTAACCAAAGCATTATTCCCGTCGATTGATGAAAATGTTCTTCGTTTCTTATATGAAGAAAATCAGAAGATCGAACCAGAATGGTACGATTTCATTTAATTAATTCGTTTTAGTGTTTAATAACCGGATGATACAGTTTTAATCTTTTATGAAGTTATTGTAAGTTCACTCATAATTGCCGAATCAACTGTCAATGGAACTTGAAAATTTTTGCGGATTTTCGAACCTTGAGAGATTTCTTTGGATTCGGCGAGTTTTTTTTTCCCCAAGTAAAAACCTATTTGAGGTACTGCCCAGTTATTCCTACTGTATTAGTAAATGGTACAGAAGGTATTGGTACAGCTTGGTCTACAAAGGTGCCATGCTATAATCCCCGTGAAATAGTGGATAATATGCGCGCTTTGATCGATGGGAAAGAGCCAAAAACCTTTGGTAAGAAAAATTCAGTTAGTGAATAATTATGCATGACCATGATCATTGATGATCACCTATTTTTCTTCAATTACCATCGTACTATTCATATCATATCACATTCATAACTATTCATATCACACTGCTTATTCCTTTGACTTAATGTATTATTAAACTAATTTGCATGCATTCTAAGACGTAGTTCCTTATGAAATTTTTTTTTGTTTTAATGCAAAGAAAAAATGTCGACAAATTCCGTTCTTGTCAAATAATGCAATGTTTATAGATACCCTGGTACAAACATTTTCGTGGTACCATTGAACAACTTGATGATCAACGATTTATTTGTAATGGTGAAGTGGCAATTATTAACAATGAAACTATTGAAATAACTGAATTACCAATTCGTACCTGGACACAAACTTACAAAGAAGCAGTACTGGTCCCCATGATGGATGGGAATGACAAGCAACCGGCAGTAATAACGTATTATTAGTCTTTTTCTAAAAAAAATTATTTAATCTTCAAGTAAACTTTTGGTATTGGTGGAGCTTGATTGTAGATGAGGCAAGCTTCAGTTCATGCTGCAGTTTTAAGTAGCGATTGGATTGAAATAAATAAGTGAATATTTGCTAAAAAAAATTTTCTTTTTCCGAATTTTGATGTTCGGCCTTGTCGGTCATAAATTTTCGCGTTCGATAGAGAATACCCGTTCTGGAACACCCATGTTTTCTATTGTGCTTGAAATTTAAATAAAAAGTAAATGTTGACGGAGCATATGAGGCCGAAAATATCAATTCGGCACCACATTTTCTGATTGATCAACGGAAATGAAAGTAAACTAAGCCTATGTGTTTATAAACGTTAAAAATGTTTATTATTTGCTCTCTTACCTATAGTAAATAGAATTCATAAATAAAGATTATCGACATTTTAGGGATTTCAAAGAATACCATACTGATACAACTGTTAAATTTGTTGTCAAAATGAGTAGTGACAAATTGCGAGCATCCAAGGAAGAGGGTCTCCACAAAGTTTTCAAGTTGCAATCTGTCATTAACACTACTTCAATGGTGCGTTATTCCTTAACAAAAAATTTAAACCATAAGAAACTTCGCGAGCATGGATTCCAGTTTTTGATCTCGTTTTGACCAAACGTTAAAAAGTTGTAGAATAAGAGCAAACTCTATGTTCTTGTCATGTTCCAATATCATATGTTTTGTGTATATTTCATTTATATTTCATAAATTCACTGAACATCATAACCTTGTTTTCCAGGTGCTCTTCGATCCATTTGGATATTTACGACGGTTTGAAAATGTTACTGATATTTGTAAAGAGTTCTTTGAAATACGTAAGAAGAAATATATTGAACGTAAAAGTTTTCAAGAAGGCTTGTTACGAGCGCAGAGTGAACGACTCTCAAATCAGGTGACTTTTTTCCTAATCAAGTTATAGCGTTGTATTGGAATCTTTTTTACATAGCTTTTTAAAATGTATTATCAGGATTGCCTAACACATGTTATGATTGCCAAATAGTTCAGTGAAATCTGTTGAACGTTCCCTAAATTATTCGTAACCATTGAAGATTCATTTTTTATTCCATTCAGGTTGTTGGATTTATGAAATATGGTAAATTATAAAATTTAGGCCAGGTTTATTTTGGCTAAAATAAAAGGAGAAATACTGATTGAGAACAAGCGGAAGGCTACAATTGTCGAACAGCTGATAAAAATGAGTTTCAAGCCAGACCCCGTCAAGAAATGGAAAGAAGAAAGGAAGAAGCAAGAATTAATGATGTTGGGTGAGGTGGCACAAGATGAAGATGAGGAGGAACAAGAAGAAAACGAAGAGGTTAATTTGGTTCTGAAATCAAGTTTATAACTTATTGATTAAGGAATTAATTTTGTGTTTTGACTCAAAATTCTATAGATAACTCTTTTTCGCAGGATACACACCAAAGTAAGGAATTGGCTGCTAAATTAAGTGATTACGATTATTTGGTGGGTATGGCAATCCTGAAGCTTTCTGAAGAGGAAAAGGATAAACTGCTGAAGGAAAGTGAGACAAAATTGAGTGAACTGAAGGTATGTTCTTCAAACATCCTATTATTATTTATTTTTTTCGTTCCATTGTTCTTTAAACATCCTATTATTATTTATTTTTTTTCGTTCCCTTTTTGGTGGTAGCAGTCCTTCTTCACTGAATACTTGATTTGTTTCTACAAGTTATTTCCCAAGGTATTAAGATAAATAATAAGAAGCCATCTAAATTTTTTATTGAGCTGCATGTGTATAAGGAAAGAAAGTTTTATCATGGATAAAATTTGCTCTTTTTTTTTGAACAGGGGAGATCAATTTCTCAAAGCTCAGTTGTTAAAGATGGTCTTGCTCAGAAAAACTGTGTTAAAAAATGTTTAAAAATCATTTATTTTCAGTTATTGGAAGAAATGACATGGGCAGATTTGTGGAACAATGATTTGAATTGTTTCCTTACCGAGCTCGAGAAACAGGTATCCCATATGTGTGTTCGTCTTCAGTACCTTTCTCGGCAAGCAAAATTTTTAACAGATCTAATGTCCATAATTATTATATGGCACCTGGAAGTGGTTTAAATTCATCCGTTGTTTAAGATGTTAATGCTATTTGAAATTTCTTGGATTCTTTTCAAAAAAAGGGAAACAAAAATCTTGCTAGTATCGATTACTTTTTGTTTAAGGAAGCAAAAGAACAAGCTGATCTTGACATACAGATTAAGAATGCAGCAAAAAATTACACTCTGATGCTGGCGGCGTTAGTCGAAAAAAGTCCCTATTGGTCTAGTTAGGGTAAGTTACTTTATTTTCTACATTTCATTATTTCTATTACTTCTCACTTCGATGTTTTGGAAATCAAAATTCAGAAATTTAGAAAAAAAACCTCTAGGCTTAATTGAACTTTGCCGAAAAAAGACTTCTTTTATTTGTTTAATAGCACTTCACTCCTTTTTTTGTATTTAAGGGACTAAGAATTGTAATTCTTTTTGTATGTACTTCTGCCGGAGTTTTGGTTGTATCTGATTTTGTCTATTTTACCTAACAAATATGCAGGAAGTGTTACCAGATCCATTTGCTGAGCGAGTGATACCAAAAATTGATGCAATGAAAGAAAAATATGAGCAAAAGAAAGCTTGTGAAGGTCGTGGTCGAAGACGCAAACTACCTGCGGTGAAAGAATCAAAACGAGAAGGAGCTGATATGCGCAAATTTTTCAGTCAAGACGGAAATGGTGAACAAGAAAGTCAATCAGAGATGAAAGTGAAGCAAAGAAAGACAAGCAAAGGTGAATTAAATTTTCTTGTTTCCATTTTATTATTTAAAAACAACGCTCTCACATTTATGCCATACAATCTGTATAAATATTAACAAACGTAAAATAAAAAATTAACGGTGGTTTAAATGGAGGCAACTCTTGCTAAAATTTTTTCTGGCACTCCATAGCTTTGTCTAACGTGTAGCTTGCTCATTAGTTAAAGTACTACACTGAACAAAATTATCAGACGGTTGGGTACTGATAGAATATTCTGGAGGAAAGGTTGGATCAAATAAGAGTTTTGTGACATCCAATAATGCATTTCAACATGCTTTCAAGTTACCAAAGTAGCTATTACTTTCCATTTGAAGATGATCAATCGGACGAAAATGATATCGTTGAAGAATTGTCCGTTCATGAGAGCAGTAATGATAGTGTTGTTGCTTTGCCATCTTACGAGAAGAAAGACACCAACAAGAAAAATGATGTAAGTTGCTGTTCTGTTTCAAAATCCTAAGATCGAGCAATTTATTGTAAGAAAGTTAAGTAATTTTCCACTTTCTTGTCGTTATAATTCTTTATTTGAGATAATAATTAAACGGTATTTGCAATATTTGTATTATTTTTCACCTTACAAAGCGAACTTTATAGAGTGGGACTTTATCTCACTAAATTTTTAAAATGAGACGAATTATCCCATATTTTTCAAAAGTAATGGCATATGCAGCATTTTTAGATTAAAAAGGTAAGAAGCGTTCAGCGAAGTGTAGCTGCAGAAGGTAAAAAAACTACCAAAAAGGAAGCTAAGCGGGAAAGGGTTGAGAAGGCGAAGAATAAGCAGAGTTCTCCAGTGATGCGTATGGAGGATTTTTTTGAACCTGTATGTATTCGATTTTTTTTCACACAATGAACTTAAAAATTTAATTTATTTCAGGAATGATAGGTCGAGGAGATTTAAATATCTAACAGTTTGGTTTATGACAGAAAAAAAATTCTAATTTGTATGCTAAAATAGCGGAGTAGTTCTAAGCAAACATGATTTTGAGCTTCATTCAGCAAGTATCATAAATAGCTGGAAGATCAGATATTTGCTATGAATTCGTGGCTAATAATTGGCTAATAATTTCGTGGCTAATAAATAATAATTGTGCAAACATAATCAAATAAGATGGTCAGCTTTGTGAAATCTTTTGTTCATGTATGATCATATCTGACGGACAAAAATGACTAATAAATTCACGGTAAACATATTGCAAAAAAAAAAAGAACGGTAAACATAATGGATGCGAATAACTGAATAGTTCTAGTAAGTTTGATAACTGCCATGATAATTGAAGGTCGAGAGAATGCATGTCTGTTTGCTTATTTACTGTACTTCATGCTTGCATGGGTTTAAATTGCTATATAGGGAAGGAAATTTTGCAGTGTTAAATTGGTAATTTTAGTAAATTTAGTACTTAACGCTTCCTAAAATCTAGTCATTTTTATAGAAAGTTGGAAAACAGGACCGGCAACAAGAGTGTTTGAATGAATCAGATCTGGAAACTCCAGATGAAGCAGGACCATCAGGACGAAAAGAACTTCCGTTACGCCGAAGAGCTCGCATAAATTATAATGTTGATAAAGACGGTGATGATGATGACAGTGAGGAAGGAAAGACGGAGGATGTCTCACCTGTGGTTCCGAAGAAAAAACGTACCAGGAAAGTGATTGAAAGTGATAGTGATGAGGATTATGAAATGCAGCTTAATAGCGATTAATTGATAAGGACGTTTTTGTCAGAATAGGATGATGTACTTTACATGCCGACTGAAAAATATTGCGATCAGTGTTAATGAGCTCTGATAATTTCCTTTTACTACCAAAATATTACATGTTCCATTAAATACCGCGTGCAAGAAATTCTATATTTTATGGTAGTGTATGTTAAATTCTTTTTAATTCTTTTTGCATTTTCATGGTATTTCATCAATCCTTTACATGAAACTTTTATTATAAGACAACAGTTTTTGAAGCAAAAGTCTGCACCCATTGGTTCTTTTTTTTTCTGTTGTTAGATTTTGTTTTAATGTAATTCTCGTAATCTCACTACCACTCATCATCTACGTTACATACCTTTTGAAGTGTTTTTTTGAGTACTGTGCAATGAAGTTCTATCCTTGTTTTAAAAGCAAGTAATTTTGGAATTCTCTATATTTCGTTTTCTACAACACTTAAATTCGGGATGTTAATGAAAGCTTATTATAAACGTAGTGTTGGAATTTTGAAGGATGAAGGAACTGCACAAATTCCAAAGTTTCGAAGGGTCAAATTTGAGTCATATTTGTTATTTGCGTATGGTTATTGTTTTTCTTAAACATCCTTCTATATGATGGAATTCACCGGATCCTTAACAGATTCGAAATGCTTATTTTGATATCTTATTTTGCGACTAGTATTCAGATACATCCTATTCTGAATATAATAAAATTCTGTGAAATCATGTATTCAGCTCCGGATTTATGCGAAATACTTCTTAAACTTTCAGATTTTAGATTGGAAAGAGTAGGTTAAGTTGGTTTGTGCACCTCTTTCGATGACAGCTATGTAGTTATGTCAGTCTTGGAAATCCTCCGAAATTTATTTCTTTATAATTTTGGTACGGAATCGCTTAAAAACTATTCCGGGTCAACTAGAAAGATAAACGAATTCGTTGGCGGATATGAGTTGCACAGTGACCCATGGTGCAAGCGGGTTATAGTTAGAGCAATATAGACCAGGTTTGATGGTTATAGCTGGTGCAGTACCAGACCAGGTTTTTGCGTGAGTTTGGGACGTCGTTGTGATAGTAGTAATAGCGAGAGTTTCGGTGTATTCTTTTTTAATTTTACACCATATTAACCCGTTCATGTTATATAGCACTGAATGACTATAGAGAAGTTATTGGTAGCATACCTCCATCAAAATTCACGGTAAAATGTAAAATCGATAGAAAAAAAGATGACGCTGAATGAATTTGATTGCTGCACGTGTCGAATAGTTCATTTTTTTGATGGATTTCGCATCTTCTTCGCATATATTATTAAAAAATCGTCAGTTGACTATATCTGCATGAGGAAAGAATCGGGTCATTCTCGATAGTTTCGAAATCTTTCCCCTGAATTTTTAATTTCTTCGCAAAAATAGAGATTAAAAATAAATGATGGAGTGTTACGAAACTGACAGACTTTATTACCAAATTGTGATGACGTGCTAAACACTGCAGTATTCCTCAGATTAAGTTCGCGACTCTTCCTCTTTGGTCCACTGTTAATTTATGTGCAATATCTACTAGTCTAATTCATTCATTCTGGAAACTGATCAATTTGCTCTGCTTTGCTTCATCTGTCATAAGCTTGTGGAATCATAAGCTTATGGACCATCAGTGGATTTTGCTTTTTGTTCTCGATAACATCAGGTAAAGTAACATACTTCATGTGTAGTGGCATGCCTTTCACTGCATTATTTTTTTTTCTCACCAGGACGAAGCGTCATTTGTTATCTTCACATGATGACATATCACTTGTTTCATTGATTCTGATAGAATGGTATCGCAAAGAACACGTCAAATGCAAGTGAAAATTTTGTTCTTTTTTATTTCTTAGTCACCTAGATTTTTGTTTTCTTTTGCCATAAATGGAATTCAAAATGGAGAAAATGTAGAGGGTAATAGATTCGATTAAACCAATTCCGATAAATACCTGATGTTCTGTGGAAGAGATCTAATAAATACGATATTTTGATCGCATTTCATATCTCCAGGAAAATTCAGATTATATAAATGCTTTCTAGGATGGAACAAATATCTCGTCCAGAAGTTCTGCCGATAACTTATTCTTGTATAATAAGTTATAATGTATTCAATTGTCTTCAATATTAAGATTCTCGGATAGAACGTTGACTTCCTGAGTAGACTTCATTAATCTTAAGCAGAAATTTGGTTCGATGTTTAGTCGTAGTTAATCCGAAATGTTTAGCTCATATTTTAGAATCCAAATGGCCAGATATATTGTTGGGCATTCAGCATTCAGTGTATATAATTACCGAGTGATATCCAAGTACCAAAACCCAACACCCAAGTAAATCACTATCATCCTTATGCCCAAGTATTGAGCTTACCACAACCCAAAATCTATATGAAACAATATAGATTAGATCAATCTCTTCTTGACCAGGAATCATTTTGCCTTTTATTTGTAACAAGGATCGCAAGGTTCAAAAATAATTTCTTTAATTTGAAGTGAAATTAATCAGGACTTATTAATTTTTACCAAACATTGACAGGGATAACCACCGCCTGTTTTCTACTCATTGCATCGCAGCCCTCGCGGACAACCGGTTGGGAACCACTGGTGTATATAAATGGAGTAAGTAGGTAATGAGCAAACATCAGAAAATGTGAATGTTTGAAAGTATTTTAGATTTCTATTACCACGCAGTAAAGTGGAGTAGTTTGCAGTAAGTGGAGTTATCGCCAAGGAAATAACCTTACTTATCTTACATAGTTTATAAATATTTTGGTTTTTTAATGGAATACATTTTGTTCCAGTGATGAGGAAAATGTCTATTGGATTAGAACCAAGCTAATTCAGGACTATCGTGATAAGGTGTTTGTTTGGATTTCAGCAATGTTTTTTCTTTTCTTTTCTTTTTCTTAGATATTCAAGATTTCAAGAAAATATAACTCTGATTTAAAATGAACGTATCTTACAGTTGCTAAGTTTGTGACTACTTTCGTGGTATATTTTAATTAGACTTAACTGACCTTCACTATGCTGTAAATGTGACTGGTAAGAATAATTTTCATAAGAATAATTTCTTCTAATTTCGAAATCAATTTTTTTCCCGTTCACGAGTATATGGATTGAGATTAACCATCGTTCCTTGAATAGTGCCACCCGAGCTATGTCAGATACATATGCGAAGTGATGTGCTAATTTAACATCAGCAGTTAGCCTTGACAATACTAAATCAGGATTAACAACCATTGATGACGCTTGTAGCTGAAATAGTGTTTTTGCTGATTGCTATTTAACTATTCAGTGAATTATATACCATTCCGGAGAGTAAAAGATGTTAGGCACTTTTGAGCAGGATGTATTTTTGTTAGTTAGACTTAGAGAAACGTATGTCTTTTTTTGTTGTTATGAACAAATGTGCTTGTTGAGTAGTTAAGATTAGGCAATTTGAACCACATGTAGCAATGGAGATTTGAAAATTCGGGATCAGTTTCAGCTGATAATAAAATGCTGCCCAAAAAAAGAAAAAAAATCAAAATAGTACTTAATAGAAATGCAAAACTATATAGGTTCTGATCAAAAAATCCAAAAAATATGCTGAAAATAAAATGAATTTCTGAAAATGCCCTTAAAGTACTTTGTTTTATTTTTTCCCTTTTGATTTGTCACTTGCAGCAAGAATTTTACTTTGATCTGTTCATTTGTTTAAAACATTCATCGAAAATTACGGCATAAGTTCTTTTTGTGTTACAGTAATGCCAGAGGCTTTATCTGAACCGTTAGGACTATTTATCAAAGACCAATTTATCATGCTGCATAGTACAGTAGCCATTGATAAGTTTGATGAAACATAAATTTGCTAACTCTTCTTATATGCCTAATCATTATTCATACTATTCTTAATGAAAGAATACATAGACTAGTTATTGTACTAGTATAAAAATATTCTTTTTTCTTTTTTTTAAAAAAGGAAAAAAAAAATCTTTCGAAGCTTTTAATTTTACTGATCCTGAAAATAAATTGCTTTACAAAATGTTTTCTTAACTTTATACCGTCGTTTCCGCAATATATCATTGGATTATTAATAAACATAGGTGTAATTATATGTTAACAGTACATATATATTATCCTTTCTGATGAGTTGTCTTTTATTCCAAAAAAAAAAATGGATAAATCATTCAACTGATGGTAAAAAAAAAATGAAAAGTGTAAACAAAATATCCATATGTTCCCGAAAAATTTCTCCTGAAAATGTTATTATTCCCAGAAAATGGATTTTTATTGTTTAAAGAAGTCATAGTATTTGTTTTTAATCAATTTATGTGAATATATGTAGAACTTAATAGAACGATAGATTTTCTGTTATCTTCATACTTCATACTTCAATCACTGATAGTTTTTTTTCCCGGTATTTACATCTTACGGTTATTAGTTTAGGCGGTCAGATTTTTTGAATTATGAATTTACATAATTTCGCTGAATTATTGTATCAGCTTTTCTATAATTGCAATAGCTATTAAATTAGATAGAAGGTATTTCTCAAATGATATCATCTCATCTCTTTTATACTAACTAAGGAAACATTTAAACTTCAAAAAGCATGTATCGGTCATTGATTTTAATCTAATTATTTCACAACATTAATAGATCATCCAATTCAATTTTAATCGTATAATAATAAATAAATAAATAAATAAAAAATATTTTCAGCGTGTTCGAATGGAATAGTTCCAATTTCTTTTTCATTTAACGCAGTGTTACTCAACTTTTTCTTGGCTAGTGGCCACTTTGATATTTTTAATTTGTAGGAATGAACTATTAGGTTCAAAAATAACAAATCCTCTTAATTTGATAATATACTTTAATCAAAAATTTTAACATGTTGATAAACCTGGAACAATATTGTAATATAAAAAGAAAAAAAGGAACATAGTTTTTAATAGCCCTGGCAGTCCAAATTTTAGTACTTATGAACCATCGGTTGGGAAACATCAATTTAATACGTGAATGAATGACTGGTTGTACGGATTAAAACAATTGCAGTATCAAAACAAAAAATGGATCATTTTGTTGGAAAAAATATCAAGTAATGTCAGGCTGCAGAAATACTTATATTTTATCGCAGATAAGTGAGGGATGTATGAGGGAAGAATTAATACAAATTTATGATGACAACAAGACATTTTTCTTTTTTATTTATTCTTATTTGGGGAATTTTGTGATAATAAATGTACAAAAAAGAAGGAAAAAGGAAAAATTCATCAATGAAAAGGAAAAAAGAATTCTCTTCCAATCCTATTCAATCTAATATTTTCGTAGAAAATTGCATGGAGAAACCGATATAGTTAACTTTATCATCCTCTTCATTGATAAGATAAGAAGGGTTGTTGTTTTGATAATAATCATAACTAATCATGAAATAATTTTTTCTTCTTGTTCAACACTGTCATATAACGAGGACATGAATTAAATTCTTAATTAATTATCGTGGATAGATTAGACAGAGAGATAGATGGATATAACTTTTATGTTCTACACGATTATTTGGTGATGATGATAAAAGATGTGAAAATGATCAGCATAATACAGTAAAATGAAATTATAAAGGAATGATTTTTATGGAAATGATACAAAACTGTAATTTGCAGATAAAAAAATGAAAAGTAGTAATTTAAATTGATATGTTTACTTTTCCTTCCAAGAGGTTTTGTTATTTTTATGCATTATAAGAAAGTATAAATAAAGCATTAATGACTTTCTTGAATAATGAGAGATTACAGATATTCAGAGAGATTGATTTATTTTTTAGTTTTTTATTTTCTACTTATTCAATTTTATTTGTTCATTTTATTTTTTCGTTTTTTTATCTTTCTTTTTGTCGAATTTTTAGCAGGTGTATAAATGAATTTTCAACAGCAAAATAAGAAGTAGCAGATAACGGGGATGAACAAAAGATGATCTCGAAGATTTTGGAGTAAAAAAAAGCTGGGGTTCAAGTGAGGAGAAAAAAGTGAAGGTTTGATTTCGAACCGATTATAATGTATATATAACTGACAAGTTTTGAAAAATGTATAGCTTGCTTATTGGAAATTGATATTGATAATTTGACTTTTGTAAATGGTAGATAATAATTCTGATTATAGATAATAATTCTGATTACTGATTAGAATATATAAGCGCGAAATTCTTGGAGGAAATATAAGTTGCTATATTAAAGTATAGCTGGGAATAACTTGATGATACCGAACTTGCTATATTAAAGTATAGCTAGGTAAAAAGTGTTCTTCTTTCGTAAATTTTAATGCTATATTAAAGAAATTTAAAATGATTCACTTTGCAATTAAGCTCAATTATTTTGAAAAATTATGATTAAAATTAAATTTGAAAAAAAATGAAATCAGGTGATTAATTTATGTAATAAATATATCTAGGGCATAGTGATGCATTATTACTAACAGGAATGCGGGAATGCAATAATAGTAATCAATAACGAAATAATTCATAATAAAAGAATAAAAAATTGCAGCAACAGCAATTACTAAATAGTAATGAAATTATGGTTACCTATGATAAAACTTCTAGCCTATTACCGGATGACGATTATTATTTCGATATTTTGTTTTATAAATTAGTCGAATATTAATAACTTAATGACAAGAAGAAAAAGTGAAAACATTAATTGATTAATTAAATTTGTGGATGTTGAAGAAATCCATTACGTATGGTACATACATAATTAATATGTGTGAAATATTTTTATGAATATTTAGACATATGATGGAAAGGAAATGTTTTTGATTTATTTATAACAACCAGTTGTTTGACATAGTTAATAAAGTGAAATAATCAATAGATGTGGTATTAGCTGTAATGATTTTCAATTGCTATTTATGTTATAGGAAATTTCTACAAATTTAAACGTGAAATTAAAATTTCTGTCCAACTACAACGAATTTTTTTTTTCAAATTAGTCGATTATTATTTAATCAATAATTAATGCAATTATTATCAACTAATTCATAGTTAAAAGATCTACAAAACGCGATTATTATCAATTAATTTATAGTTAAAAGATCTACAAAAAATAGTTGTAACTTTAGAATATTTGATAGGCAATATTGCAGAAGATTTTAATGATTTCTTAAATGTACGTTATCACTATTGCAATGTGAATTTCTCTGTTAGTTAATATTTTTTGTTTTTTTTTTCTCGTGGATTAATTGATTTATTTTTTATTCTTGAAATTAATCTGTTTTAACGTCGTAATGCGAAACATAGTTTTTTTCTTTTTTTTATGATTTTTAACAAAATTTTAGTTCTAATTAGACAGCATATAGTGCGAAAAGTTTGTGATCATAATGAGGATTCTTGAATCGTCGGATGATGAGCCAGATTTGGGGTTAGAATTACAAATATCCGAAACAAGTTCATCAGTAACGGATGAAGAATCAACTCTTCCGGATGGGATATTTATTGTTCAAGAGATTATTGATCACAAATGGTAAATAATATACGCCTATTTCAAAAATAAAATTTGCACCATTTCTTTTTTGATCATTGATGATTTTTGTATTCCAAAAGTATAGCGAAAAAGTTGTGGTTCTTAAAAGCATTATTAATTAATCAATATTATTGTATTATTATTATAATTAATTTTAGTTATGGTGAGTTACGACGTCGAAAATTGATCGATCGACGAAATGTTTCTCAGAACACTCCATTTTTCCGTGTATCATTTCATCCGATATTTTGTTCCGTCTGCGCAATTTTCTTAATCCGGATATCCTTTTTCTGCATCCGTGATGATTTTTCCATTGTCAATTGTTTGTTGATATGTTAAATGGCGTTCGATACACTAGTCGAAAAAAGTATTAATGCATTTTCAGGTTCACTGGAAGGGTTTTCCTGGTCAAGATACTTGGGAACCATCGCAATCCATTCAACATGTTGATGTTTTCAAAGAATATGCGCGAGAGCATAATCTCATTCATTTGATTCGTAAGTTTTAAATGGATGTATTCATTAATTGATGGCAACATTCCGAATTATTGGTAATTTTATCAATTTGTATCTTAATTATTAGTCGACTAGTCGATACTTTTTCCACACTCTTATTAAATTTAGAATTCACACTTCAATTATCGACGAGTTACAAAAAGTAACGAAAAAAAAATTAGATTAAAGGAAAAATTAAAAAAAAATCAAAAGAATCAAAAAAATTTAAGCTACAACAGATTGCTTTATATTGAATAAATATCAGCAACATTTCAAGTCATGCATAATTTTATCAAATTTCATCAAATTTAATTTTAACTTTTATCATAAAGCTCAAAAAATTTACCCAACGCACCTATTTTAAACTATTAATAGTGTAGTTTCATAATAGCTAATTTCTACAGTGTCAAACAAGCTAACAATATTGTCACCTATTTGAGCTTTGTGATTTAAACTTTCCATATTTCAACTTTCCTCTAGTTTCGTTTCATCCTTTGGAATAATAATACTAAAAAATTCTTTCTTATCCATTTTATATATCTACCATATTTGTAAAATTACTATATTATGTCATAGTAATATCTGATCCATTTCTTTAATTAACATATGAAATTAACATGAGTGGCTTCAAAAATTTCGCAAAAATAATTTTTTATAAGGCTCGTGCAAAAAAATATTCTTGCTGTTCCTACAAAGATGGGTGAAGAAAGGACATTACAGTTTATGATTGCTCAAATTTTGATAAATTGTTATAAAGCTAATAAAGATTAAAGAGTGATTAGAACAAACAATATAATTTCGTTTATTTTTGTCTTTTTAAATTTCATTTGATGGATATAATTAAATGTTTCGAGCAGTTTTCTTCGTTTTTTTTTGTTTTTTTTTTTTTTGTCTTTTTTTTCTGTTTTTTTTGTTTTTCTTATCTTTTCCACTTCTTATATTTTTATTTATTTTTTCCAATTTAGCACCTAGCAGCGATAGCAGTGAAACAGAATCCGTAAATATTGATGAAAGAAGAATGGAAGAAGTGGATGAAGGAATGGATTCTGTGACTGATAATGAAAAGTGTCCAAGAGAAAAATCAAAGATTCTGACTGATTCAGAAGTCGAAGAGGTACTTAGGTGTTGTAATGAATCTTTTTTTTTCTTCATATCAATTATTTAATATTTTATTTTATGTCTACATTTGTGTCTTTGCTTTCTCTTCGAATATTTTTGGCAGTTTGTCGTATCTTGGGAAAGAAATCACGGTTTTTAAGCCTAAATGAAATTATTTCTTAAAATTTTTATTATTTTCGCTTTCTTTACTATCATCCATATAGTTTTATTTAATACTTGGCTTCTTTTTTTCAATATGTTAAAGTGCTAAAGTTTGAGATGAATTAAGTAAGAAACAAGGAAAATAAGGAGATAGTTTATTAAAAAGTGCGAAAATAATTGTGATAGATTAATGAATAAGCTTCTTAAGTCTTCTCCTTCT